CTTAAATTTGAGTGAGGCACAAATATCTGCAATTTAATTTTCTTACTAGCTTGAAGAAGGATGAGACCACAAATGGAAAGAAGGTGGCAAGAGAAAATGAACAAACACGTAATGGCTTATATGAAATTGAATAATTACATCCTGTATTCTGCAGCAACTGCCAAACTCAGCCATCCCCCATGCTACAAAGCCCATTTCAGTGTTTTGTTGTGAATACTGCTATACTGCCCCTGCAAGGACTAATTTGTATTCCTGGATCCCAGATGCTTTGGAAAAGAGGGTTAATTATCTTGCCTTTTTAGTAGCTGCTGGCTCCCTGGCGCATTCCTGCAGGAGTACTCATTCCCTTGCATGAAGACCCACTCAGTCTGCAGCTGCTCCATGAACACCAGAGAAGGAAAAAGTTAAATAAATCACGCCAGAAATTAAGACCTTGCATCAGCAGCTGCAACAGTCAAGAGGAAGAGCAGAGAACCCGTCTGAATTAATGCGTGGCTATAGCCCAGGGAGCTGGCTGTGAAAGGCCAGAACAGGAAAGCTTGGCACAGGACAGATACCAAAGCTTTTTGAACACAAGAAAAGGGACTGAGGTTATTTCCTTTAGAGGGACATGGTCAAAGCACTGCACAAGTAATCTGGCTGCATTAGGCTCCTCCACATCCTGTGGGAATTACAATCCTTGGAGAAAGAAATCTTCTATTTTTAACAGGGAAAGAGTATTACGCATTAGGAGACTTAACGGAACACAAATATTTTGTTCTTTTAACTTGATGATACAACTGCCTAGAAATAGAAGCTTTTCACCCTTTATCAAATCAGATGCTTTAGCAGTAGAACTTGGGGGCCTTATCATCCCAAACCCTGAACAGCTATTTGTTTCAGCTTATTTTCATCTCAGACTATGCCCCCGCCAGCTTTTGTAAGGAACCCGAACAGCATGCTAGAAACATCACATTATCATGTGAGCACATCTGATCACCCCTCTCCACAAGTGTCAATTTTAATGGTGCAACTGAGAAGATACTGTCTTACTACTCACTTAGCATGCATAAGGTTTAACAGGCAAGGAAAAAAAAAAATGGAAATCCCTTGTTTTACAGGTGAAGAATGACGCCAAGTATTTCTCAACTCAGACTTCCCTGGTGAATACTATTAACATTTTTCACATTCCAGTCCACTCCCAGACCATTCCTTACGGAAGCAAAGGTAAGCTGGGAAGAGCCTAGATTAATTTAAAACATACGGTCTTAACAATTAAGAACAAAAATAGCACAAGCCAGAAGAAATGAAGGAAGTGAAAAACACCTTGCTTCTAAGACAGGATGGCCTTCAGTGAGACCCTGCCTATCAGACCACTTCATCTACCTGCAGTTTAATGTCCACCTCTCACCCTTGTCAGCCCCACAGTCCAGGAGAGAAATGCAGGTCTAGTGAACTGTGCTCACCCCTTGTTCCTTAATGCCTTCCTTCCAGAGGTCTTGCAGCACACACTTGTCCCTTGCTTAGATAGGATTCTCCATTCACTCTTGAATTTCACAACAAATCAGGTCACACAACATACTTCTCTCGTGCTGTTATTCAGTGAGGCCTTTCTCACCAGCCTTAGAGAAACACAACCTGTGATGTAGGACAGCACCACAGTATCAGCAGCTAACCAACACACAGGAGCAGAGCACCAGACTGCTTTTCCCTTTACACTTTTCCCTTTCTTTGGGACTATTGCTACCAGGGGACCCAAATCAACAAGGTTTGTTTCCTTAAAGCTGACACATTTTTGCCACGTATTCAGAGGGCACTATCAGCTCTTCTATGACAACATGCCAGAGCTTTGCTTGGTCATAGCATCAAAAATGCAAACTGATATATGCAACCACTGCAAGGCAAGTTTTACAGCAGGACTCTTAAGTTACCTTTTATACACCAGATATGTGAAGGTGGGAGGCTCTCAACTGCAGCACAGCTGCATCTAGTTTAAGGTCAAAATCAGAACAATGGTATTTTGTGTTTTAAGAACTCTTCACAGGAAGCTGAGCCCATAACCAATGTTTTATTTTCCCATGCCTTCTTGCACACTATTTCTGGCCAAAGCTATGCCAATGCATACAAGATTGTTTCTGAGATTATTACCACCTCTGTAATTGCCAGAAGGGAATAAACCAATAGACCAGGTAGACATAACAACCTAGAATGGATAAAAAACCCACTAGTAGCTACAGATGTGAGAATACAAGGTATTTTCAAAAGAGGACACACAAAAAAAAAATCCCAAAGATGTTTAAACACATCCCAGAAGGGGGGGGGGGAGGGGGGGGAATTGAGCAAGCATGTTCACGTTCCCAGGCTTTGACGTATTATTTAACAGAAGAGACTGAATGTCTCCTGCTAAGCTATCATAATATTCAAACAAGTTCAAGCACTGGTCACAAGAAAACACACAGCAGGAAAAGGAGCAAGTTGCATTTAATTACAACAAAGTGGGTTTCAGCCAGTTACAAGCCAGCTTACCCCAAATAGTATCCCTTACTAAAAGACAGACTTAGTGACACCACATTAAGTTGTATCATTCCTTTCATAAAGCAGGACACCCAAACACTTTCTGAATGGTTTCTTTTAAGTATTTTCTTATTATCACCCTAGCGATACACTCTATCTTGCTGTGGTGGTATAGAAAGTCAAAAAGCAACTATTCCCCCTTCTTGCATATAAGGAAAAATAAACACTGATTAGAGTATCATGAGAGAAGACAAAACAGATCTCCACCTCAATATATCATTTACCTCCAATGAAAGGTGATCAATTAGAAAAAATAAACTTTTTTTTTTTAACAAAACAAACAGTGGAACAGACATGAAGATATTACAGTGTGAATGCCAGCAGCTTACAAGCAGGGAATGTGCATAGCAATGTTCACTATTTTGCTTGTATGGCTTATGCAAAAGAGAGGGTGTTTTGTTGTTGTGGTGGGGGTGGAGAGGGAAGGGGGGGGGGGGGGGGGGGGGAAATGCATCGAGAGACCTTAATTGTTTAATTTTAATCTAACAAGTCTAGTAATACCACTGCCAAATGATAGACAAACTTCACTCCCCTTGGAGTAACTAACTCTTCACCTGCCCAGCAAAGGCAGGTGAAGCGTAACACCAACAAGGAATCTTTCCTGTTATCGACTTTTACATGAATAAGATGATTATTTTAAGGAGAAAGAAACTTGAACAATTTTTCAGTCTCCTCTCTTTTCTTCCCCACATGGCACAGGCTACTCATTTTGCATTTGGGACTTCTAGCTGGTATCAAGTCCTCTCAGATACACCTGGAACTAGTCTGTCCTCTGTTTGATCTGGGCAGCCACAGGAAAGATGCCTTTCACCTGAACATTTTAGGCACTGAATGCTGTGATCCACTGAGGACACGGACACATTAAAGTGCTTTTTTTTCCTTTCTTCTTTTTTTTTTTTAAACCCTGAATGCTTTAAGGGTCACTCATCCTACATCCCAAACTGGACCAACAGATAACATACTATTTTTAATGCTCTACTACAAACAACTTGACTTCTGAGACTACATTAATACAAATAGCAATGCAAGTTATGACAGAAGAAACAGGTTTCCACAGAACATTCAAGTTGATGGAAGAGAAATGAATGATTGGGAGAGACCATTTACAGTTAAAACACTATGCAGCGCAGAACATTTCACTAGTACCCAGCATTTCTGTTGGCAAGTAGCAAGATATGGCACATAGCCTTCTATGCTGGATCTCTCTGGAAGCAATTTCTGGGGGAAAAGTACTGAGGCTGAAAGAGTGTTAGCAGTACCCCTAAAACGCAAGTAAGTGTGCCACCTACCAGACAGGAGGCTAGTATTATTCCAAACCCTATGCAGAAAGAGCTGCCAAAGAGCAGCTGTCCTTCAGTTCCCAGTTCAGACACTAGAAGCCTGATTTGAATACCTGAAATACTCAATACCTGAAGCATGAATAAAATGGAGGTAGACAGGGCAAAAATGAATCATTGTTGATGAGAAAACCCGAAGGACAGCTGATCCACCCTATCATACAAGGGAAAATGTGTTTGCCTTGAAATTAAGAATGGGGAAAATCCAGTCTGTATTTAGAAACCTGTGCAATGCCCACAATCTGTAAACATACTGCAACATAATCTCTCAAGGACAAGCACACTGCACAAATAATCTTGCATTAAGGATGGACATGGATAAAATCTGTAAAGACAGAACTTGTATGATAAAACATAAAATATCTGATAAAACAAATACTCTCTGATCACCAAGAGCAGAACTGAAAGAAGCCCTAAACACCTTGCTGCAAATTCAGAAAGGGGAACAAACACAGAGCCTAGGACAACAGCTCCCAGACTTCCCTGCTTGGATTCCCAGTTCTGGGGGTTTAGCCCAGGTAAGATGCAACTCCAGTTCTAGAAGAGAGAACAGAGGTTTCAGAGTACTGGGACAAAACAAATCATCTTCCCAAAAGAGAAAGATTTCTCACCTCATTAATCTCACATTATGTAATTAGTTACATTATCTGAATCCCACCTAGATTACCTCAGTTTAAGTGAGAGGCTAGCCAAGTCTATTCACCCTATGAATTCTTTCATGGTCATAACAGATGTATAAGATAAATCAGACAAAAGAAAACATCGAATTAACTGTCCAGGTATGAGAGAGTATGGTGGGGCTTGCTTTTTGTTTTAACTACTTTTACCACCTTGGTTTCTATTGTGCTCAATCTTCTCACATATCCAACTTTTACCATTTGGCATGTCATAACCACTACTTTAAAAAAAAAAGTCAAGAAGATATGTTAAACACCGAAGATTTAAGTTTAAATTATGGAAAATGAGGATGAACACATTGATACAGGCTTGCAATTTTAATTTTTAAAAGGCCCCTACGGTGGGACGAGCTATAGATGGCATCATGCTAATGCAAATGGAAAATAGTTTTTTAAAAAAACCAAAAACCGCTTTAAATAAGTATGAATTCACACCATACACGTGTACATACTTAATAATTTTCTACATTAGCTTTGTTTGAACTATAAATCAAGTCTATACTACTAAAAATTCGGTATGTGCAACGTTAACCTGATTAAAGCATTTTATAAATACAAGCTTTTTAAGTATTGCAACATACTTCACTACTTAACATACTGAAAAACAACTTCTACATTTAAAAATCTGATGTAATAGTTCTATCTGCCAATTAAGACTACAAATGGAAAAATACTTGCTAATCTTTAACATTATCGAAAATGCAAATATATTTCATTTTTGGAAGAAAACAATCTTTTTATACTACTGGTGCTTCTTTAGACATTTGAAGATACTACACTAACAAAATACAAACTTTGTAGTAAGCTTACAACATGTACTTCTCAGAGGCAAAAAGAAAAAATCTGGTTTGTATTTATGAAGGAACATCCATTTATTATAAAACAAGATAAAAGATATTAGAATTAAGTTGAAACAAGGCAACATTAGAACAACCACTTTAGAGCTTTGTGAACGAAGTGTAGTTTTAAACTTGCAAATCAAGGTGAATGTAGCTCTTAACATGCTGTCCTCTTCTCTATAAATGGGATGAAGTAGAGAAGCAAAGCTTCAAGGTATAAGGGTTGGAGCCATCTGTCAGGAGACAACATGTAACATACTCAGGGCATTTTACTGAGCATAGCTTTCCTGCTGATCAAGATCACCTTGCATAATCTGACAAGTTTACCAATTCTGTAGACTTAAGGCTCACACCTCCCCACCTACACCCACCAGTGGCCCACAAACACCAGATGACCTGTAAGTAAGCGTTACTGATAGTCTACCAGCATTTTTTAGACATAAAAACAAAGTGATGGATCTGGGCACAAGGGAACGTAGATAGAGTTCCAAATGTTGTACTATACACAAGATAGACTACCATTATCGTTGCCCCTCTTCCTAGCTGAACTATTTATAAAAGTAGTATTTAACAGGCAATTTCAAAGACAAAAGGTATAGATATTTAAGGAAGTCAAGACTTAGAATGTGGCGTTTCTGTCAGAGACAGAGTGGCACTAGACCATATTTACACGTGTTTGAGAAAAGTCTTTGTTTTAGAACACTGTCTTTTCCTGTGATAGCTATATTTGATTATACGTTAGGGTTTGCCTTTTACATGTTGAAAGAGTAAGTTCTTCTGCTGTTATCACCTCTCCAAACTGAGATAAATCTGAAATTGTGAACAGTATGTTATCAATAGTATCTTAAAAAAATATTCTGCCCTTGAAGTAGTCTCAGTCCATTGAGAAGGTGGACAAGAGGGGGGCGGAGGGAAGGGATAGGAAAGATTTACACTTGACAGGGAGACAAAGCCGTAATAGTTTGGAGGAGGTAGGTTTAAAATAATATTAGACACTGGGCTGGATTCAACGTTATGTCTGTAAACACCCAGAAAAATTCCATTTAATCCAGTAAACTATCTTAATTGAAGTGTACATCTGGCCTATTGTGTACTTGTTTAGCAGGTGAACTCCCCCTCTATTCTTACTAGTTTGGAGCTAAACTCAGCTTGGCCTCACAATTTCTGATTTGAAAGAGAACCCACTACAGGAGCAGTTAATTCCGAGCAGTAAGCTGTGTAACTTAAAGAATCTTCTGCCCAAAAATATTGCAGATTTCTCTTTTGCATTTGTATAGTAATATATATAGTACAGTATGTGTGTGTGTATATATATATAAAATACAGCATATATATACATATAAGAACGACGCAGGTTTTACCTGCACACTGAGCTGCTGAAGCCTCACCTTTTACAAAGGCAGTATCAACATGAAAGAAAACAAGAAAAAAATTTATAGCAGTAAGATCAGTAAAATTGACTTACTTGGGACTCTTATCTGGTAGTGATTAAGTACAGTGAGAGCTTCCACTGCATCTGTCTTACATTCCCATTCCAACAGACCAGACAGTGTTTTGGCAGAAGCTGTCAAAATGAGAAATAAAAAAAGGGAAGGAGGGGATCAGTAACATCTCCTGACAGTGTATGCTCTTATCAAAACTGGAATTCAAATAACTCTCCAAACAGGTCAAAGTTTACTTACGTTTTGGATCAAACACTTTGTATTTAATAAAGCTGAGAACTTCATGATCCTCACATAACTGTCACAAAAATAAAATAAGAGGTAAAACTCCAGTAAAAACGCACATAAACACATAAGCAAAAATTCCAAGTTCCTGGAAGAGACACACAAAAAGGAAAATACTGACTCTTTAAGAAAGCTTCCAAGAATTTATGGCAAATTATTATTTTAAAAATATGTTTAGATTGGTAACTCTTTAGAATACCATTCTATAGTATGCAAAACAAGGTTCATATATCTGTGCTGTCCCATGATAAATATGATTTTATAGGCACAAAAATTGTTGAGAGTACTGGTATCACTACTACCTCAAACAACATATTTAAATAGAAACAGATTCTTCTTTTTGACATTCCCACTTCAATACAATAGCTCAGAAGTTGTACCTACAAGCACATCACTCATGAACCAAACTTAACTTTCAGACAGAGCTTAAAAAAAAAAAAATTTATTGAACTGAAAAAGAACTCACTGAACCATCATCAGTTTTACCACTGCCTCCACTCGAGAGGCCCAGTATTGCATGTTTTAAGCATCCAGAGTTCATTTAGGACTCAACTGTGCAAACCGCTCCAGGTGCATGCTTCTATCCATTCCAAATTATCCTAGCAGTCATTAGAGTAACCATCTCAGGGAGTCAGTAAATCTTTTGCGAATTTAGTCCTAACTTTCCCTGTATTTGGCATTCTGTGAGTCTCTTCCCCTTCCTCCACAAAAAACACATTAAGCTCCTCAACTTTATTTCCAAGATCTTGTTTCTCACATAAAAAAAAAAGAAAAAAAAAAGAAGAAAATGGAGAGAATAATGCCAGAAGTGTGAAAATAGAGGGGGGTGTATATATACACACACAGCTTCTATATAGAGAGGCTACAAACCTATTTTTGAAAACCAGTTCTCTTCCAGTCACTATGCTGTAACTATCCCAGTTATTTCTTTTAAAAAAGTAGCACAGTGTAAAAGCTAGGATAGAGCCCCAAAGCACTACATGTCACAGTCATTTCAACTGCCTACCTTTACAAATGTTTCTTCAGTTACACACAGGGGAACATTATAATAATGTAGCACACATGAGGGGGGTTGGATGATGTTCTTAGATGCTTGACCAGCACTGGTGAAGCGATTATTCTTACTCATTGCAAAATCCTTGTAACTACTCGTGCCATCCTCCAGTTCAAATATCTGGCTTGGAACTACTGAATGCTGCTTGGAAACACTGAGATTTAAGGAGAGATAGAGATATATATATATAGTTAAAGTTTCTTAAATAATTAAGACTCACATACTTTGCACACAGATTATTGATCTAACCACAACAGAGCTGACATTTCTTTACAACAATTTGAAATAGAAGGAGAACAAGATGGGTTGGATTTGACACCTTCCTTAAAAAAAATGTAGAAAGGATGGATAAGACACATTAGGGAATACAGTTTATTAACAGCCAATCCATGTAATGCCCATATGCTTTATTAATATAAATAATAACAAAATTATAAATAGTAATAAATAAATAATAGTTGCAAACTGGAAATCATAACTCCAACAATGATTACAGAACAATGGGATATTGTCCATTTGCAACCTCATTCCATCTGCCCACTGGTAGACTATTAATCTGATAAAACATATTTACCAGACATTAAGTCTCTTACCAAATAACTTGACATTGTTGAGATGTGTGACAGCTCTTTCCACAGCATATTCATCACCCATTTCAACCAGTGCCGTGCCTGGAATAGTCTTCATAAATTTCACCTAAGATAGATAAGGGAAAAAATTACTTTGCAACAAACAGCCCAACCAAGAGTTTATAAGTTATTAGGAAATATTTTTAGACCATCTCAGCCAGGCTTTTTCCAAAACAATTAAAATGACTAGAGAGTTTCCAAGTTTCTAATAAATTATGCCTTACCTTCTCAATGTTTCCATACAAGCAGAACAGGTTGAAGACCCTTGAACAGTTCATCTTTAGCTGATGCAACCCACTAACCATGACAACTGACCCAGAAGGATTTCCACCATGCATGTAAGAGGAGGATGCCTGGGGCAATGGATAAGCAACAAGTTCTGGAGTGTCCCGAGATCCCATTCGGTACCGGCTCGGCAAGGGCAACAAAGGACCATGTGACCCTAAGGAGATGAAAGACCATGCTTTCATATTGTTTGAAACAAGTTTCACTACTTAATCATGCATTAAAAGCCCACACACGTAATGCATATTTAAAGGGGGGAAGGGAGGAAAACAACGTTACAGCAGTTTCCATTAATTCTTTTTCCAATTAAAAACCCCAAAAACCAAAGAACAAACAAAAAAACAAACAAAAACAACCCCTCTTCTATTCCCTTTAACGTTCCAGGTCTCTTCTTACTTTACCAGACAAGAAGGAAGGAGCTGTTTCATGGTATTGTTTTTACACACAAGTGAAAAAAGGTATTTCAGTAATTATAAAAATAGTATCTTCCCTGCACCATACAAAATATTTGAACATAAACCTATCAGAAGAAATATTTAAAATAAACCTTCAGCAATATTGCAACGTGTACTTATAGAGTTACATGACACCAAGAAAGAACATTACAAAGTAGGGAAAACAAACCAAAAGGAGTGAATTTTTAGTCAGAGGTCAGGAGAGGAGAGGAGATGACAGCTCTTTTTCAGAGACAAGAGATTAAGTCAGAAGACTGCCTTTCTACAAACAGCTCATTTGGAAGAAACAGGAATACTTAAACCCCTGCATTAATGCAAAATGAAGCTGTCCTATTTTGCACTACAGGTAAAGTGACAAGTTTCACTGAAATAGACAATTTCCTTTTTTTTTTTAATGAAGAAACATTACTAGTATGCAATACTTCTGTTTATAGAAAACATCAGTATTACAGACCAAGGAGAGGATCCCTGTTCTTCTGAGAGAAAAATAATATGAAATTCACATAAGCCAAGTATAAAAGGAACCTTTTGTCCTATTTTCCCCAGCAAAAAGCAGTATTGAAAGGGAGACAGTGGTATAGGAGGAGACAGCCACATTACTTAAGGTAGAAGGGTGTATCAGAAGAATGAAAAAAGAACATCAGTGAATACAAGGTGGAACTTGGAAATTCTGGAGATTTGAAGAACCTTTGGAAAAAGTAGGTAGAAGGTCAACCCACATTGTAAAATATCACAAATACATTTGCAAAGAAAGAGGCAAGACAAATCACATTGCATCTGACAGTTAAGAGAGTAAATAACTAGAAAAGTCACATCTAACTGGGTACATTAGTTTCTCAACCCTGAGGTCTTGGTCCAACACATGAAAGTGACAGCAGATCTTCATCTACAGATAGCACTAGTAACAACTACAGCACTAATTCCAAAACATCGTTCTTATACAGTCACATAGCTATACCTTTTCAGAATTAGCTAAATTAGAAGAAACGCAAAGCCCACAATTCACAGCTTTGCATGCAAGAACATCAGAGCTCTGTGTTGCATCAAACCACTGATCAAGCTATGTTGCCATTTTTTAGAAAACTGCTTTCCCAGTACAGATGTCATTTTCCATCCATTGCTAGGGTGATGGCAGCTGAAAGGAAACATTCTTCCAGAGAATAAATTTGTAGAGCCAGATGCTCTCCGTGAAAGGAAGAAGTACGGCAACAAATGCACATAGATTTCAGTGAATCACTAGCATTTTCAGAACATGGACTGACAGCACTGCACGTACAGCACAATAGTGAACTACTCATGCTGTAGGGGTCCACAGTTAAGCATTGATTGAACATTTAGAATTCCCCATAACATGTAAAGAAATCATAACCACCTGTCATCCTATGTTACTTACCATAACCATCATGTCTAAATGATGATGGGTGCTCTCCCAAAATAGCTTGCCTCTGGCGGCCCTTCCCTCTGTCTAACATGTGGGAAGGGAAAGAAAACAGTTTAGTATGCACAACTACGCACTTGATTTCTCCAGTTAAGACACAAAGCTTCTAGTTAAGAAGCAAAAAAAGTAATTTGAGTCCTTGTTAATTTTATAAACAATTTCTCATTCATTATACATCTAAAACCACAAGCTGTGCCCTGGGACACCAAAATTAAAAGACTGCCATCTGTATAACAAATTGCACTTAAGTTGATTGGGGGCAGTGGCCAATGAGGAGATGCAGACATTTAAAGTTTATGGAAATACCCAATAGTTTTCCTAAACAGACACCACACATTAGTATAGATAACACCATACAGCAGGATTTACCTATGTGTCTCTTAAAACAAATTTGAAATGCAGTACTTTTGAAAGACAGTACCTGAATCATAATATTAGCTTCAACAGCAACACATTTTCAAAGTGGGCTTCTTTCAAGAAGTTTCAGCATAAGCCAACAACAACCTGTATTACATGGTTTCATAATCAGTAAACAGAGAGTATTACATACGTGTACATATATATTTACAGAACACCTACTGATTTATGGGCGTGCTGAAAGGATTGTACATTATTGCATTATCAGCAGCACATAACAGTTCAACTGAAGAAAAACATCACTGAATAATGCACTTGAACAACGGTCAATCCTTTAAGAAAACCCAGTTCTCTAGGATATAAAGTTAAGCAAGGGGTCTACATTACTGGAGGAAAGCAGTGCATCATAGCCAAAGCTGTATTATCTAATCAGATCCATGCTGCATGACAAAGAAAATCTAAACTTCCAGATTTCTTTGTGGTAAGCAGCAATTGATTTCTCACAATTAAAAAAGCCACGTTGAAAATACAGGGCAAGACACTTATCAGTGTATGATAGTTCCCAGGAAATTTAAGTATGACTGCTGAAAATGGCAACTCCAGTCCAATGCAGCTGGAGGTACTTCCCCTGAAAAACAGGAACTATTCCCATTAGACAACACAACAGTGGGAGATGAAAACACATGTGCCCTTTCTGCTCAGGATTTTGAGGAGAGGTTCAAAGTCAGATATTTACTTTGGCAATAAAGCCTGAAGAGAGAACAGTGCTGAGTGCCTTCAAATACATAGAAGATTACTTTTGTCAAGTTTTGTTTTTCTATTCCCTTTTCAGGGTAACAGCTCTGGTTCTTGGCTCTAGAAAGCAAATGGACAGTCATATCAAGTATTTTGAGCATTTAAACTGTATGCAGTAATCATCTTTCAGAAAAATCAAGTTTCTAATTCCAGTCTGTGGAGTTAAATCCTTTGAAACCGCACACAGTAATTTTCTTTACTAAAGGACCATATTCTTCAAATAAAGAATTCTGGGAGAACACAGTTTGACAAATATCTCCTCCTCGTGATGGTGTATTCCACTGCTCTCTCCTTGCCCCATACTTGTTCCTTCCTTGAACAAAGTCCCTCAATTGTGCCAGTACAAATACTTGTGCAAACAGGCATTGAAACATGAATACTGATCTGTGTTAAAAATAATTCTGAAAGGAAAGATTCTTTATAATCTAGTTTAAGTTTGGGGTTTGTTGTTTTTTGGTTTTGTTTTTAAATCAGGTCCTGGAGTCACTGTGTATGCTGGTATTACCACCAAAAGAAATGCTCTGAACTACAGTTTGAACTTTCTAGCTAAAAGCAAGTAGAATACTAAAAGTCAGGTGGGTTTTTCAGTTCAATCTAATGCAATATGGGTTCATAGCAGCAGGCACCTTGTTAGGAAGTTTACTTAAGTGGAGAAATACTATGGGGAAGTCTGTAATTTGTTACCATAAAGAACTAAAAACAGTTATTTAAACAAAAAAAGTCATTAGCAAAATGCATTTCCTTCCTAAGATTTGAGGGGGGGGTGAAATTCTGAAAGGATGTATTAGCATGCCTGTTCTCAGAATGAAATTCCTTTGGACTAAGATCTTGTTTGCTGCAGTCAGATCCCTACAGTTCAGGTCACATTAAGTTCAAAAGCCAAACAACACTGCTGCAACAGTAAGTTGAAGCACAAATACGAAAACTCTCTCTCAAAAAAAAAAGTCCTGGATTACTTTATGGGCAAAATTGCTCTAGATGCCTGCTTTCTCAAGTACATTTCAGTGTTCATTCAACAATTTATATTCCCATTTTCTAGATAAATGGATGTGGGCCACAGTAAATGGAAAAATCATGCTATATACAATATAGCATGACATACAGATATATGTATATAATACAAGTCTAACTCTTTTCCTCTTATGTGTAGTAGAGTGATGTATAGGAAATAGAGACAGGCTGTCAAAGTAACAAAAGGAAAACGAGAGTAGTGTGAGAGTTCTTAAGAAAGAGCAAGCCATACCCATCCTAAGTTTTTCATTTTCCACTGTTTTCTCTAGCTTGGGGAACATTTAGTTCATACAGCCATATCTATCTGCAGACCAATTACATAATGTAATTAGATGCACAATGTTACAAGTCAGCCTCCAAACACTGCAATGATCAAAAGATATAAGGGTCAAATTAATCCTTCAGATTTTTCAAATTCAAACCTTCAGATTTTTTTCTTGCCCTTGAGTTTCTTCAAAATTCCTTTTTTAACTCAGGAATTTGAGAACAAAAATTTGAGTCCTCATACAAATAGTCATAATCTACAAGCTGCAACCAATACTGTAGCTCCCTTGTTAACTTTTTACAAGAACTTCATTTTGAAAATTCAAGCCCTAAGTTTTTAGTTGTACAACAGTTTTACAAGCCCAGCGTCTCTGCAGAATTACTTTGAAAGTGCATATCACTTGAGACAGCCAAAGCCCTGGTTCTTATATAGCCTTTGATAAGTAGATACTCTATCTTGGACACATTGTCTTCGCTTTTCTAACTTTACATTGCACACATTATTGTACATAAGTTACTGAACACTGCACTCAATAGTTACAGATTTTTTTTTTCTTAAAGAAACACTTTACAGGAGTTAGGCTACACAGCAGTTTGTCTTTACATATATAGTCATAGTTTCCACTGACATGAGTTAAGCTTAGTAATTTTTACAGCTGAGTACTTAAGAGACAGCATGCCTGTACCAATTATGAATCTCCCTATTTTAATACTTAAATATAACTGGGGGGACCTATCTGATATTGCACTGCTCAGTTCCAACTATCTACAGATAAGGATTAAATTTCCCTACTACTAGACAATATTTACACTGTTAAGACTGAATGCAACTCTCACATACAGCAAGTAATAAAAAGATTACAACGTCAATGATACCAACAAGAGAGGCTCTTAATTTTGGAGGTTCTCAATTTTTCAGTTGTAATTTTAAGGGAAATAAGACCAGCATACATACAAACTTGAACAGAATGGGTACAGTCTATCATGTTATTCATCCCATACAAATCTGAAGTACTGAAAGTGTCCTCCTTTAAAAACTTGTGGTGGTGGTGCATGCAGTATGCAGACAAGGTGAATTGCAAGTCTGAGTTTTTTCAGAGGGTTTTTTTGTTTGTTTGTTTGGTTTTTTTTGCTGATGCCGATGTGGTGCATGATGAAGTGTAGAGTCAGCCTGCTGAAGTCCTCTATCCTTCTTAATGCCTCGTCCAACATAGGGGAAAAGAGTCCTTTCGAAGGAGAAGCAGTGTGCAAGTTTGTAGTTTGTAAGGAATAGTCTGTACCAGGTTTCCTCTCCTCCAAAGAGAGAGAGCTGCTTGGAGAAATGCAAGTCCTTGAGAACTGCGAAGGTGCTTGCAGGTGTGGGCTCCTTGTTGAACTAAGTGGCTCAAGCACACGGCAGTAGGGGGCACTAGGGCTCAGGGTTAATTTCCTGGCTTGTGAACACAGCCTTCAGCAGCACTGGCTTGCTTTGAAATGACTACTGCGATACAGCCTGACCATGTATAAAGGATTGTCATTAGTACAGTCAAACATCTACAGCGATAACATATGAAAACCTACCTCGTCGGCCCAGATATGGTTTAGTGTAGTCCCAACTATCGTTGTCGTTTCTAATGACATTAAGTCGAGTTGGCTGTTCAAATAAAGTAAAAGTGAAAAAGGTTAAGTCTTGATTATATGTATTTTTCTAGTAAAATTAAAAAAGAAGGTCCAAGCATTACCCTCGCATATTCAATTTTTAGTGTGCAGCATCCTGCATAGATATCTGCTCCATTGAGTGCAGCCTTCGCCTTCTGGGCACAAAACACTGATTCAAACATACACATCACGTTAAGGATATTTTCCCCAGGTGTCTCATTCATGTCCCTTTCTTCTGATACAGCTTTATTTTTGTAGCCTGCAGATATTTCACTATTGTATACCTTACAAGAACTCTATACAGACTTAAATATAAAATTACCAACAAGTATATATCAGCTAAACTTATGTTAAGCATCTGTTTTTGAGATGTAAGCAGCACATGATGACACCATTCATAAATTAGTAAATTCTTCAGTGTGGATTATACAGATGCAAGCTTTGTTTATGCTCTGAGCTTATATCGTTTGGAAGGGGATATTCTGGTGGATTTAGTAATTTTCATCAGAGGACACAAAGTTCCCAGCAAGCCTAGAGAATATTTGAAGGGCAAGTTTTAAGGGAAAGTTCAAGCTGCATCATTTGGGAAGGGATCAGACCTCAGGGGCAAGAAGGCGTGACTTAACACAATGCATCTCTTCTCACAGCTAGCATTAGCTAGAGACTCATGGGTAGGGAGAACATGAACTCAGTAGTTTCTTCACAGTGAAAAGAACTAAGAAAGGGTACGCCCTTTTTAGCTTGTTAGCCAAATAAAACCACAGAACTGAGAGATACTTTGAATGAACAAATAATCATCTTGCATCAAAAAATACAACAAGCAGATTGCGTTAAATCCACTGCTCAAGGCAGATGCGTGTACCAGGCTCCAACATGTAGGTTATTTCATATCCTCTACACACTCCAAGATTAGTTCTATGACTAGCAGAAAAATGTACCTGAACCTTGGCACATGGCAATCCATGATCTCATACATACTCAATAACATATGGTGTCAGAAAGCCTGATCCTTTCAACAGACCAGACATTTTGCGCCATCCTTTGATATGATTTAGTGAAATTTTGGAAGTAGTCTGTATCAATAGCATATTCCTTTTGTTTTACCACATTCCTGCAGCCCAACTTCTTCCAAGGTGATGTAGGTTCACTGTGGAATTTAAGAGTGAGAAAAGTTAAGCTTCCCAGACCTCTAAGAAATTGTTTGACACTGGCTAGAACTGTGGGAGCACCTCTGCAAAAGTAATGGGTACTGCAATTAGCACTGAAATTTGAGTAAATTTTTGAACTTTTCAAACAAGGCTTGTCTTGAAGCTCACTTTTTTCCCCCATCCCCCCCAAACCGTTTACCTACACTGCTGCATTACTTTGTTCACATTTGTGAGTTTTTGTTTTTAATAAAAGGCATGTTGCAGAATTTAATTCAAAGGACAGAAGTATGGTAGTTTCAGAGTATGTGCAGGATCCTCCCCACAACTTCCCTAATCTTTCACAAGATGCAGAATAACCCCCAACTGTACAAGTCATCTGATCCAGACAACACTGCTTACCAGAAACTCGACACACTATCATAGTTAAGTCAAACTACTGTCTGTTAGGACACACAGTTTAAGTCTTCTACAGATAAACAGCAATTAGTTTGCTTTTATGAAAGTTAGGGTAATTCTTTTTGCCTGGCAAATCATCAAATGCAGCCACGGGTTACGTCACATGTTACAGAAGTGACCCACTAATAAAGCCTGCCACATCGGTAGCATCTGAAATCACAAAAGAATTTCTGAGATTTTGGTACAATTTTGTCCAGGTAACAGCTCAGAAATGGAGGGTAATCAGTCTCTAGGAAGAGGGCTATCAGAGTTTTATAAACTAAGGCGTAATCATATCAGACTTCGGACTTTGCAAACTGCAGTAACACATTAACAACTTTGAACATTCATCCTATGTACAACTTAACACTATAAATACAGTAAACAGTAGGATAACAGAGCAGAGAATTTCCTCAACACATGATAAACAGGTCTAAGTTGGTCTCGGGCTTTATTAAAGTCAGAATAGTAAGACAAGCAGTATATATTAGAACTATTTTAGAAGAGTCTAAAGAATTCAAACTGTACCTCTGCAATCCCTTATCCATTTCTTGAGTATCAACACAGGCAGACACCATGAAACTTTTGTGCATAATGCACTGTCAAACCTATGACATATTTCATGTCTGCAATTATTAGCCTTAGAATCACAGAACCATAGAATAGTTTGGGTTGGAAGGGACCTCTAAGGTCATCTAGTCCAACCCCCCTGACGTGGGCAGGGACATCTTCAACTAGATCAGGTCTCTCAGAGCCCCGTCCAGCCTGACCTTGAATGTTTCCAGGGATGGGGCATCCACCACCTCTCTGGGCAACCTGTGCCAGTGCTTCACCACCCTCAGCGTAAAAAATTTCTTCCTTATATCTAGCCTAAATCTACCCCCCTTTAGTTTAAAGCCATTCCCCCTTGTCCTGTCGCAACAGGCCCTGCTAAAAAGTTTGCCGCCATCTTTTTTATAAGCCCCCTTTAAGTACTGATAGGCTGCAAGAAGGTCTCCCCAAAGCCTTCTC